ACTGCACTCTACGTTGGGTTTTTCCTTCCTGAGACAAAGGGAAAGTCCTTCCTTGAAATCTCGGAGGAGTTCAAGAAACGGAACTTCAAAGCTCAGACCCATGCAGTTTTTTATAAAGGCCCTGAGGAGATCAAATCCACCATGTTGTAGCAGAAGAAAGGAGGATGGTATCTGGGAGAAATTCAGCAGTGGCTATATTCTCTTGCAAGGACACAGAGAGAGAAGAAGAGTTAGGGACAATATATTACTCTTAGGTTCTTAAGTTCACTTTGAAAAGGTACACTTGAACTGATAAATCGCAACAAAAGTTTAATAATCTGTTTTCTGTTTTTAGTGCTAAGGAACACATACATATTTTAGAATCCATATTAGAGAGTGACAGAATGATGCCTTATTCTCTTATCATCAAACACCACCATGCAATGCTTTAGCAAAATTTCTTCTGAATTTTTTCTATATTTCTGCTCCACCCAAACAGTAACTTCCATCTCAAGCCTTTCTTTCCTTGCCCCTGAATCTGGGCTCTCTAACACAGAAATTAATACGATTAAGTTCTGTTTTCAGACACCAGATGAAATTCTCAGTACCTTGTCTTGGTGCTCCTGTTGTTTCTGTTATTAAGTGATTTCAAATAGACCCCTACTTGTTGAGCAATAGTGAGCAGTTAATTATTTTCAGCTATAAAAACATGTGACAGATGGATTAGGAAGAAAGCTTCTAGTACTTCCTAAGTGGCTTATTATACAACTGACTTTTGGGCATTGTTTTGCAGACTATTTATTCTGAACTGGTTTTCTTCATGGCTTGTTTGTTGTCTTCCAGTCCTATGTTGTAAAGCACAAGTAATTCTCTAGTTGAGTTTGTACTGCTCTCACGGACACTGCTGGTGCATCCTGTAGGGTTTTACACCCACACTCTGCTAAGGTTAGAGTGTGATGAGGAGCTTTTACAGCAGCAGCTTATTTTGGATGTGGAGATTTAGATCACAGCAGAACGTTCTTTGCAGCATGTTCTTGTTGTCTCCATAGAGCATATTGGAAAAGACCCAGATGTGATACTGATTCTTTTTAGCTAACCTGGTACAGAACAGGGCAACACTCCTCATTTAATGTTGCCTTTCACAGGCATTGGGTTGACTGGTGAAGTTTCTTCCAGTTTCTTCTCAAAATCATAATCAAGCCATCTCTTTTCTTTTGGCTTTGTTTGTATGAAAGTCACAGCACTGCTGATGGTTGCAGCAAAGAAGAACAGGTACATTTTCAAAATAAGTAGTTAAAGTTTCTTTCAGTATATTTTTTAACTACCTTTTTTAAAAAATACAGCATTTTTGTATGACAAGACTGTAAACATTTCCGGAGTGTATTACTGTCATGCTGGGCATGAGTGGAGTATCAGATCTATTTCTCAGAAGAGGAGTCTGTGCAAGAACTATCTTTCACTACCTAAGGTTTATAACGTAGGAAAAATAAAACTAAGCTTTTGTTCATTTGTGGTTGCTGCTATTTTAGAAGTCATTCGTATACAGACATGGGCAAGAGCAGGTATCTCTGCTCTTGGACAACATTGAGATTTTGAAATACGCAAGATTTTGAGATGAGACAATCAAGAGCAGGACTCCATGGAGCTGGGAACTGCAGAGATGATACCTTTAATTTCTATAGTTTGGAGAGAGCAGTGAGGGGCAGATGGAAAGAGTAAAACACACAGTCAAAGCAAAAAGTGCTGGTACCATCATGATGGTATCAAAATATTGTCATGCCTTTGGTGAGGATCAGAGAAAGGACAGGAGACAGAAGTGAAGGAAAGAAGACAAGGCAGTAGTGAAGATGCAGGCTAGGAAGCAGGGGATGGACTGAAGAGACTGCCTGGGCAGAGGGAGAGGCCTGGCATAAACTGCCAGGACGTCAGGTCAGAGAAGAATTGGTTAAAACTGGGAGAAGTCCTCCAATGTCCAGAGGTCCTCACCTTGGTCACCTTTGTAGCTACTCCCATGAGTCAGTATTGTTGCGCCCTTCCCCAGAGCCCTGGAAGGACGGAGGCTGTTTGCACCTGACAGTATGAAACACGCCTGTTCAGAAATGATACACATTTACTTGACTTCCCGAGTTTCAGAGCCAGTCCTGCGAGTACATGTGTCAGAAAACACTAATTCCAACTTCCAGCGTTTTTTCTGACTATGGCCTGAAATCAGGTGTCTTTAGACTGATTACGCAAAGACAAATAGTGGTTACATTTTAATTGGTCTAATTGGTTACATTTTAATTGAAGCATTTAACAAGTTGGTTAATTGTTACTGAATTAAAACACCTTCAACTGAAAAAATATATGACACTTGTTCAGGTCAATTTTCTTACCATGTGAAGTGTTAGGCACAAATACATTTTGAAATATGATCCTCAGAGACTCATAGTTCATAGTTTACAAATCAAATCACCATGCACTGTTGGATTGATTAATAACCATCAACACCAGAGAGAAATAGTTGCTGCTGCTGTCCTCAAACAATTCTCTGCACAAGCCACCTCTCACTTCCAACACCGCTCAGTCCCCGTCTAACCAGTTGGGATTCTTCCAGACACCGAAGACACAAAGCATCCTAGCCTGGGGAACCACCAAGTGCAGCCAGTCATGAGGAGAAGGAATTTCCCCCTAAGCTGTTTGAATAACTTGTAAAAGCCTTTTAACAGAACCATCTTGGAGACTGCTAGATAAAGAGGCCCTTTGAGAATTATGGATAAAAGTAAAGAGGTAATTTATTTATTTTACAGTCAGGATTTAAAACTGACATTCAGCTTTCCTAGCATCTAGCATATATTATAGGGACACAGGCTTGTCAGGCAATGGCCATTACTTTTAAAGTGTCAACTGACCCCGTAATTCAAGAGTTGAATGCACAGGCTTAGCCAGGCTTGGTCAAGTCAGGCTTCAGAAGGCTTTGCTGTATTGAGGCTCAAAATAGCAGTCAGGAACTTTTCCTTTAAATGTGATAACTGATTACCCAACCTATGACTTGGGGAGTCCAAGCCAGTCCACTCTAGTTTGTGCCAGTCCCTGGACTTTGGCTTCCACCAGTGCCTTTTTTATTGTCCTTTACTCATCTCCTGTAGCTCTTATTGCCTGTCAGCTGCTGCTGGAGCTTCTCTTCCCTAGTGACCTGGCATAAATTCACAGCTCACCAAAATTATCCACAGTTTCATCAGTAACCAACACAATAATGACAAACCAAATAGCAAGAACTTCATGACAAACCAAAGGGAGTCTAAACAGTGAGAAAGAATGAAATCACGTGTTAAAATATTATCTCTTTCTCTATATATAGAGTGACTTTTTCCAAAGTAACCAAAGAAAGCATCAGGAAAGACCTAGCCTGCAAGCTGAGATGACTACCTTTGCATGCAAGTTGGTATATGTTTCTCTTTTTTTTTTTTTCCACATAGAATTTTTGTGGTACATATTTTTTTCCTTTCTGCTATTCTAAAATACCTGTTGTATAAATTAAGTACAGAAAGAAAAGTAAATCTGAATCAGATGTGGTTAAAATAATAGTATGAAGTCATATCTGAGATATCAAATATCTTGCAAGAAATTATTTTTAAAAAGCAAAGAAAATTGGATTTGAAAGCACATTTATATTTAATGGCTGATACAATAACAGAGGAAGACAAACCAAGGGAGTTCAGAGCAGAGCAACAAAAAAATGCTGCATGATTTAATAGATGGAGGAGGGCTGGAAGACTGAAAAAGTCCTCCACAATAAAGAAGTTATGAATAACAAAGTATCTGAAAGATGTAAACACCAAAGGATGGAAAACAATCCTTTCCAGTCAAGAAAGTATAGGAACAGATACCCAGAAAAGGTAATACAAAGATATTTTTAAAAAGCAATTTTAGGATGAATATTAAGTTAAAAAAAAATCTTCCCACGTTTAAAATCTATTAGACTGGAAAAATGATCCAAGAGATGCAACAGAAAAATCAAGCAATGGTGTTATAATAGAGAATGAGGATGAGACTAAGAAATTTGCTGCAGGTGCGATATAAAATTTGCACTTAGCATAGGATTTTCTTGCTGATGGGAAGTTTTGCACTGATGTGAGGCCTTTTTCGTAGTACGAAGGATAGTGGGGATATCTAGTAGTAGAGACTGTGAATCTTATTTCCTCCTAGTGCTTTGACAAACAGGAGATTGTTGTCATTTAATATATGAATGTGCCAAATACCAAATTTATTCCGAGCTGACTCCTTTGAAGCCAACAATGTTGCAAAATGGATAAATTTTATGCCCATTCAAGCAATGGCATTCATCTGATTAGAAATCAGCTTGTAAATGTTTGGCAGTCATTGTTCATCATTGCCTTTGAATATGATCTGTTCTAGAGATAGAAGTGCAGCATCAAGCCATCATTGCTGGACAGAATATCACTAGGACACTCAATAACAGAGAGCAGTTGCAGTGCGACGGATGGGGTATGCATGTATCGCAGTACTATATTGTGGGGGTATTCTTAAGCCTCCTATCAGATATAGTTCTAAGAAATGGTGAATAAACTATGAAACTAGGAATGCCCTTCAATCCCTGAATGTTTATCTAGTCTCAGCCAAGTCACTGAGCAAAATATTCATTTAGGTGAGATAACAAGTGGGAAAGGAGGAGGAGGAAGCACAAATAGATGGAAATCATGCACATAATGCTTGCACATTGCACCATGCTCCCACAACTAGTTACCCTATGATAGTGCAGATTAAGATGCCCAAAGCTGAAGACAGAAGCACTGAAGTGTGTAACTGGGTTCTGGGAGACAGCTACGAGCGTTGTCTCTCCTCAAATTTCTCACTGTCCTGTGCTTTAGTAGCTGTGGTCTTCTATTGCACTCTGCGCTTGGTCTCAGAGGAGGCAGGTGCGTGACATTGCTCAAGCTGTAAGAGTTCCTGAAGGTGAAACAGGACATGTCTGAATAGCTATACTAGCTTTGTTCGCTGTTTTTATTTCCTGCCAGAAAATGAGCTACAATCTCTTCCTTCTGGCTTTTGTCCTGGGCATTGGTGGAGGTTTCCAGTACGGGTTGCAGGTCTCCATTATCAATTCTCCTGCTGAGGTAAGCATGGACAGCTCAAAAAATTGAGCTACCAGCATGGATTTCAATGTTCTCATGCATTCCCGCCTCTATTTGCAATCACTAACTTTTCCACTTCTGCTCTCAAAACTAGACTTATTGTGGTTTCTTGGTTCTAAGAGTAGCTGCTATTGCTTTTGTGTTTCATTGGGTTTTAACTTCTGTCTGGTGTGACAGAACTGGGAAAGGGGAGGATAAGTGATATCTATAAAGTCAGCCATTTTCCCCTTACTGAGTTGGATTGCTCACAGGACATTCTCCTCTTTCCAGTGCTCAGGGAGTCCTTTGAACCATGTCCTTGGCCACACACACTAGGTCTAACTGACTGTGTAAGCTGAAATAGGACGGGGAAGGACTGTAGCTCTAGAGCTGAGGTCAGCACTGATACCTGCAGCTGGGAAAGGAAAATTAGGGGAGGTGTTTGTCATCTTGAACGGTGCTGAGGACATTGAGCTCATTCTATCACCACATTGGGAACCCTCATCAAGAATAAGGGTGCCATGGAGGTTATGAACAGTAGGTCAGAGAGACCCCACAATGGGGCCACATTGTGGGACAAATCCTGATCTCACTGAAGTCAGTTGAAGTCAAACCTGGATTTCACCCAAGGCGTCAGACAGGATGCAGCAGGTGGACAAGAGAGACAGACACTCAAGCAGGAAGGGAGGGGAAGATCGGGTAGCAAAACAATCAGGGTTTAGCACATAAACAAAAGACCAATGTGCCACCCTCTTAGTGGCACTCACTGTTGGTATTTAATATTGATCTATTTATTAATTGATTTATTCATTGCACCTTGTTGCTAAAACATTAACTCCAGGGATGTTAGTGGCAAAATTCCCTTTGATTTCACTGGGGCTAAGATTTCAACCAAGGTGTTGATAGAAATATATCAAAAAGACCAGTAAGTAGGTAAGAGAAGTAAAAAAGAGGTGCAATTATGCAAAAACATGTTGACTGAGTCCATTGGTTTCTGTTTTTCTTTTAAAGTACATCAAAAGTTTCATCCGTGAGACCTGGCTGAAGAGGTTTGGCTCTTCTCCCAGTGAAGAGATGATTACTTTGATGTGGTCCTTTGTTGTGTCCATTTACAGCATCGGTGGACTTCTGGGGTCCTTGTCTGCTGGATATTTGTCTGTTAGATTTGGAAGGTAGGAATAATGATTACATTAGTCTTTCTGTTTACACCCACAACTGCAAAAATAAGCGACTGTGTCTTGGGAGAAACACTGCTTGTAAAGTGGCACTGTGAGCAGCCCAGAGCTGCTTCAGATGAAGGATCAGTTCGGTGAAGAAACAGAATGACAAAATCTGCCAATGATCACAAAGAAAATCATACCCTCTTCCCTATAAATTCCAAAGCGAATCCAGTCCAGAGAAATCACAAAGGAGTGCATGCATTTTAAAGTGAATTTCACAGACAACCGCTCACAAAGCTTGTTCTTCAGTGTAGGTATTGGCCCCACTAGAGGCATCAAAAGCTTCAACTAGCTTATCAGTCCATGACAAAGTTTTCCTATTCCCATTTCCCATTTACTTCACTGCAGTTGATCTCAGAAGCCGGTACAGAGTCTTTAACCATGGTACAATTCAATGCCACTTCTGTCAGGCTGTGAGTGACACATGGACAATATTTATGGTCACATTAATTTAAATGAATTCCAGGAAGAAGGCCATGCTGTTCACCAATATCCCTGCTCTGCTGAGTGCAACTCTGATGGGACTCAGCCGGCTGTGTGGATCCTTTGAGATGATCATCGCTGGAAGATTATTTTCTGGAGTATGTGGAGGTAAATTAGCATTCCTACCTATGGTATTAAATAGTTGGGACAGCAGTGACTGAGGGTCACAAGGATTTACCAGACTGAGTACATGGATCACAGATGTTTAGCAAACTCTACAGATTGCTGAATGCATTTTTAACTAAATAAGAAAACACAAACATAATTAAATTAATCATGTGTGACATCTCCATTTTTCATTCTTTTATCTTTACATCCAATCCATATAAAAAGTACTACCAACTTGTGATAAAGCCAAAACATGCAATATTTCAGGGGAGCATGCTCACTCAATAGAAAGCTGACCTCTGTTGTTTCTGATGCTGCTTGTTGTGGTTGATACTGCCTTTCGTATTACAGACAAGGGAATGGTTTTCAAGATGGGCAATTCTGATTTCCAGATGCCTCAGAAGGTTACATTCTGCCAGTGGTTTTGATCCCTGAGCAGTTGGATAAAGATAATACCAACCAGCAAAAAAAATTAAGAGAGAGGATAAATATTAATTAATTCACTGAGCAAATGGAATATACAGCATTTGTTAACTTGTTGGTTTCAAGCACAAAATGAGGCAGATAGTGTCCTGAGTAGAGGCTGAAATACATAATCTGAGATTAAAGGGAGCAATAGCAATCCTGTGTATGTGGCTGTAGGAAACATTGTAAGAGGCCAGCCTGATGAAGAACAGATTTCCCAGGGCAATATACTTGCTTAGTGAAATATTTAGCAAAGACGCAAGGCCACGGTACTGGGAACATGCTTCATGTCAGGCAGACACAGCCTCAACATGGTTAAAAAAGTATCTCAGAGCCTAACCCTATATGCTTTGCCCATAATGGTCCCCTCCAAAACACCAGACCTACGGGAGTTTGAATTGCCCTGACAGTCATTTGTCACTGCAGGTTTAGCTCTGAATATCCATCTCATGTATGCTGGGGAATGTGCCCCACGGAAGCTCCGTGGGCTGATTGCCATAACAGCTTCTACTGCCATTGCCGTCGGAAAGTTTGTAGGATTTGCTCTGGGTCTCAGGTAAGGGGGTCTGAGACCTATTTTATTTCTTCTGTTATTAAAATACACACATATGTCAATGCAAGCCTATGGACAGGCAAATCAGCAACTATTTTAAGACATGTTTTCAGGGTATCCTAGGCAGTCAAACTGAATTAGCTCAGCCTAAATTCCTGACTTAAGTGAATGGGAAACAGAAATCATACAAAATATTTAATCCTGAAGAACACTGTTGCTTCCTAGCAAAGACAGATCAAAATACAGATGATTAAAAACTTTAACAGATTTCAATGGGATTGAAAGAAATCCATATTTTGTAAGAACTGACCTTTAATTTTTATTTTTTTTAGAAGGAGCAGGGAATGTCAGATCCATCCAATGTTTCTTGAAAATAGACACAAATCGGCACACCCACCCATCAAACACACACACCAGAAAAACCAGAAACCTATGGTAGATTCATTCCCCCCAGCACAGGCTCCTTCTGCCTGTCTTGTGCCAAAGATTGTCCGTCCCATTCCCAGCCACATGTCATTCTGGCCACAGTGTTCTCAAAGCTGCAGAAAACTCAGCGGCTCCTATTTGGGCAGTCAGTACCAGGCTGATAACCCATGGACCCTGTCTTCATTGTAACTTGAGACTCTTTGGATCAGAAACAGAGGGATCAGCCACTGTGGGTTCTTTCTTCAGCGCTTGTGCCGGGACACTGTTCAACCCTGCGGGCCTTCAGCTGCTGCAGGAGGATGCAGTTAGCCTTGCTGCACTCACCACTGAGCAACAGGTGGCAACACTGTGTAATTCGTGTGCTACAGGCAGCAGTGCTCTGCTCTCCCCTTCTGCTTCCCATTGAGATTTTCATTTTTCTGGGCTGAGAAATGCTGGAGACTCCTGGGTGAGAGCTGCCAGGACACATGCAGCAGGGCCGAGGGATCACCCTGCGTCTGCTCACATGGCCAGTGCACATGGTTACTCAGATCCTCTCTCTCTGCTGGTTTTGTTTCAGAGAAGTCCTCGGAGTAGTTGCTCTCTGGCCTTTTCTCATGGCAGCCAATGCGCTTCCTGCCCTCATTCAGCTTCTCACCCTCCCCTTCTTCCCAGACTCTCCCCGCTACCTGCTCATTGACAAAAAGGACAAGGAGGGGTGCATGAAAGGTAAGGAAATGGATCACAAAGCATTCATTTTAGCAAAAAATGGAAGTGGAAAATACAGTAAAGCCCCACATGAGCCTGGAAGAGAGGTACAGTTGGTAAAAAGACTATCAGTCTTTTGGCTCTGAAATCACCTTCAGCTCTAATGAAAGACAGCCTCTTCTGTTTTGATATTAGTGCTCTCTTGGCACTAGTATTTCCCTTACCCTCTGCCAGGATCCTCCGAGGGACGTGATCACACAGAACTTGTATTTCCATCCATATAGATTCTGCCCTGAACAGTCGGGGTGGGGATATGGTACCTTCTGGCTCTCTGTAAGAAAGGGATGCTCTTTACTGTCATGCCATATCTGTAAGCATTCCAGTTCTTCAGTAACCCTAACAGCAACTACTGACATAAACAGCGAAACAGCCATTGTGGGTTTTTAACTATCAAAAGAGATAACTTCTTGGATGTAGACTTATTTTTTAATGTAGGAGTCGTTTTTCCTTGTCTGTGTTTTGCTGTGTGCCCTAGAACTGCACCTTTAGCAGGAGGGTATTTGGGGAAGAATTGGTAAGAATTTAGGTGTGATTTACATTGAAACACTGTAAGCAGCTATTGGACCAAAGGTGAGGTCGTGATTAAGATTTATGGGTAAAAATAGATAGCAATGAACTGGATCTGTGTCAAATCTTAAACCAGATCTCTAGGAAGTTCACACAAGCAAAGAGCCTGAAGCTCAAATAAGACACACTCCAAGGCAGGAAGTAATCCTCTGAATTCATGTCTGTGCTGGTGAGCTTGGGCCAGGAGTCGTCTTCTCTCTCCCTCTCCTTCCAGCTGTGAGGCAACTCTGGGGAGACGGTGACCATACGGCTGAAATAGATGACATGATGGCAGAGCAAGAAGCCATCCGTGGGGACAAGGCTAAGAGCGTTTGTGATCTTTTTCGTGACAAAGCTGTCCGTTGGCAGCTCATCACTCTCTTCCTTGTCTCCTCATGCATGCAGTTTATTGGCGTCAATGTGGTATGTGTGCTACTTTTCCCTGCTTTCTAGATTGCTTACAGTTTCTTGGCAAAAAGTAAGCTTTGCAACGAGTAGTAAAATGCTGACTGCAACAGTGGCTGTAAGGAGGGGATCTGTTGTTACTGTTTATTATAATCTTTCTCCATGGAAGTTTGGGATGTGGGATAAATCAAGAACTGTGTTTTAGCAAGTGTCATCAGAAGGCATCTCTATGGATTACCCTGTTATGATAAGAGAATGGAAGGGGATAAAATAAAATCTCAAATACAGAACCAGTAAAGAACAGCATAACCTCCTCTGGGTCTCTGAACTCCAGAATGCACTGCCCAAAATTGTTCAGCCATTTCAGTACAAACTGAGTCAAGTTTGTAATGTACACTGACAGTTCATTTCCATACTCTTACCTCTTTGGGTTTCTTTCTAAATCCTTTAACTTTGCACTTTCTCAGATTATAGACAATTACAACATCCCAGTAATATATTTGACACTTACTGATATATACTCTCTAATATACCTTTTCTCTGGAAATATCTCTATCTATGTTTCAATAGATAGATAGTATTGAGTATTGGAATAGTTATTGTATAAAATGAACTTATAGTAAAAGCATAAAAGTTTCAAATCCAGATTAATTTTGCAAATTCAGAAAGACCTCAAGGTTCATAAGACTCCTTTCTACCCCCACTAGTGCAGCAACTATACCACAAAGGACCAGTAGAAATTGAGCATATTAACAGTGGAATTTCTTATGCTTTAGGAGTGCTTACATCTGGAAAAATAGTGACTATCAAAATCACTGCAAAGGCTTAAAGATGATATAGAAAGATAATTTAAGCCATTTGCTTAGTAGGTACTGTCCACATTTCTGTATTCTCCTCATCCAAAGTACATGAGATCCTAGAACATGTGAAAAATGTCAGATAGAATTATAACCTGTAACATAAGACAAAGGCAGTGCTAAAAGCAAGCAAAAAAGAAGAAAAAGGCTGTATTTGTTACTGAGTTCAAGACAGAGCTGCTAGTAAAAGCTGTTCTGCACAAATAAACCTCGTGAAAACATTGAAGATCAGTTACTGAAATCAATAAGAAGATTTTCTCTTTTGTTAAGGCCTGATTAATTATTTTCTATCAAAAAAGACAGAAGCTAGTGTAAACATGACCACATGGGTACAGCCTTCACACATTTCTATTCTTTCCAGGTTTACTTTTATGCATACAATGTCTTTATAAAGGCTGGAATCCCCCCTACTCAAACCCACTATGTTTCCCTGGGAGTTGGGATCACCGAGATCCTCACCACAGTTCTGTGTGTAAGTGGCTCTTCAGCTGAATTTCATTTCAATGTTTAGAACTACTGTAAATGGAGCTTCAGGAATCAAACTTCTGCAACAAATCAACTGTAGTACTTTGCACCGATCACATAAAATCATTTGCACACACCCTGCAAACATGGGCATTTATATTCTATTTATGGGAGGACAGGAGAGTCTTTCCCTCAAAATCATGACCCAGCCTGAGCCAGCCTTGGGAGTCCCAATTCCCCTCTGTAGGAAGGGCAGATGACAGTCCCTGTGTCCACTTGTCAGTTGGACCCATGGCTGTAGGATTCATGGCAATTAACATTTCCACTTTGCTGTCCTCCCTGGCTATCCTTTGCCTGCAGAGTGCCATCTCAGGCCTCCTCTGCCCGGGTAATGCTCCCTGCAGCCCTGCACCTCCCCACCTTCCCCCTGCTCCCTGCAGCTCCTGCTCCTGCTCAGTCCGCCCAGATGTCTTTACTCACCCTCCCAGAGGAGGTACCACATTCCAGTCCCCAACTCTTCAGAGATCCCCTGCCTGGCTGGTGAAGGCAGCTACTGGAGCAGCTCACCAGTGCCTGCCTTTAAGGTCTGTCCTTTGGAGCTGAGAGCATGTCCTCCTGGTTGCAGGGTTTCCTAATTGAGCGTGCAGGGAGGAAGACACTGCTGTGGAAAAGCTACACTGTTATGGCCTTGGCTTTAGGCCTCCTCACAGTCACGCTTTCACTACAGGTAAGACCCACTTACACATTAGAGAAGTGTCCCGTCTTCATGTTTTATTGTATGGCAGATATCATTACTATTTCCCTCCCCCCAAATCACTTTTTAGTGGTAGTAGAAGTATTTTGGGGGCTAACCGTCATACTAACAGAGGTCTGTTCCCAGCCATGTACCTGCAGATTAAAGCCAATAGCTTTATACAACCATGATCACTGCCAAAATTATCTCCTTGTGAAGTTTCTGGAAGTAGAGGAAACACTGACATACTTAGAGTGATGAATGTTTCTAATGGAGCTGGATAAATAAAATTTTAATTTCTGATTTTAATTGCTTTTCATTTCCTACCATAGGATTCCTTTTCCTGGGTACCGTACTGCTCTGTTGCACTCATCTTTATTTTCATCATGAGCTTTGGCATTGGGCCAGGTTAGTATTTTCTACTGGAATGGTTTCATATACTCATTGCTTCCTCACTGCAGCCTTTAGGAGAGGTCCCAGGCATAGCTGTTCCACAGTTAGCATGAATCCCTACTCCTGGTTCAGCGCAGGGGTAGATGTTCTCCTCCATACTGTGGTAGGAGGTAAAACTTCATTTCATATTGCATTCCTACATGCCTTCCTCCTGAAGAGCCAAGCAGCATCTCAAACACTTTCAGGTCAGTTAAAACCATTAACTTATGTAGCAATATGAAGTGTGAGTTACAGAAGCATCTTGCAAAATTTCTAAACTTCCTTTTTTCTCCAACATTTTTTCCAGCTGGAGTATTATGCCCCTTGCCCACAGAAATATTTATTCAATCATACAGACCGGCTGCTTATGTTTTTAATGGTGCTACAAACTGGATCCAACTCTTCATCCTTGGACTTTTGTTCCCTTTCATTGTGGTAAGCAAAGTAGGGTGTTTTGTTTCAGTTCAGAGGAGCTTAGACCCTTACTGAACCCAGAGCATACTTCTCTTTTTCAACACTTCATGCAAAGGACAGAGCCCAAACTAATTGCAGTTCTGATGGCCTCTTTCTTTTTACCCAAATATCTAGTGAAAGCGTAGCAAAACCACTAAATGCTGCTAACTCTACACACAGTTAGAGTGTTATACTGGCAAACACGGAAGCGGTGACAGAGGCACCAACACTGTCAGGCATCATTTGAATGTCATGAGGGGCTCCCTTCTTTTCCCCCCTTGTCCTGTATGTGCATCTCCTTTGGGGTTAATGTGGAAAATGGGCAGTCCCAGAGATCTCACCCAGCACTAGTAAGTAGCAGGAAATTAAAGCCTTTGCAGTTTTGGACGGTGCAAGGAGGGACAGAGCTAACATGCTACATATCTTCCCCAGTCTAGCATTGAGAAGGACAGAGCAGAAAGGAAGAGTAACTGAAGTTCAGCACTTCTCTGAATTGTCAAGCAATGACATTCAATGTCTGCTGAGCATACAACTTTCCTCCTTAAAACAGGAAAGGAGAATTAGTTCATCTTACCACTCAGTACCTTTCCCCAGGTGGTAACAAGCAGGATTGACACGAACTGAGTCCCTGAGCAAGTTTTTTAGTAAATACAAAACCAGAGAAGAGAAAGGAATCTAGATAAATTTATATGAACACATTTTGTCTCTTTCTTTTCCTATAGGAAGGTCTTGGTAGTTTCTGCTTCATCATTTTCCTGACATACTGTCTGTCCATGGCTATCTTTGTCTTCCTGGTGATGCCAGAGACCAAAGGAAAGACCATGTTGCAGGTCATGGAGGAGTTCAACCGCCTGAACTACCGAGGAAAGAAGAGACAGCCAGCCCTACAGCAGAGTAACTGCTCAGTGATGATTGTTACTAGACTTTAATAACAAACTCTCCACTCCATATTTTGCTTTTTTATTACTGTAGTGCCCAGAAGCCTCACTAAGCAAGAGAGAATCCATTGCACCACAAACAGCACAAATGTGTATTTTAAAAATAATCACCTGCAGTGCCGGGTGCAGGATGAACTTAGTGGTTTTCTCCAACTGCTGAAATATGAGCTGAATTAAATCCTCTGCAGAAAAAAGTTAAACACAGTGTATAAAGAAATAAGATCTTTGTCAGTCCCTGCAAGTTAGCAGCTGCGTAAACTGAAAACACAGGATCTGCTATTTTTCTTACCAAAACCAGAACTCCACAGTTGTTGGAAGAAGTGAGTGTGGAAGGTTCAGATGTACAGCATATTTGTGAAACTGAGAGAAAAAGAAGACAGCTTTCACGTTGAAATTTTCTGCTCCTATTAACAAGTCAGTCCTGCTGAGCTTTCCCAGAGAAGGAGCTTCAGTCCAGATGAAAAGAAGTGTTTAGCTCTTTAATCCAGTGGAAGAAGAGTACCTTGCCTATCAGTAGAGAGAATCGGTATGCAATGTTTCCCCCTCTTACAATTAGACTTGAGAGCAAGTACATGGTATAGGGGCAACTAGGACTTTCTTGAGGAGCTTATGACCACACTTCTGTGACCTGCAGCATGGTCTTAATTCTTTTTTTTTTTTTTGGGGGGGGGAAGTCATTGCTACTTCTGAAGAAAAAAGGTGTAAAGGAGGTATAAGGTCTTGGTATAAAGGAGACACTATGCTAGAGAAGCATCCAAGCATAACCTGTCACCTCAAGACAAACCTCTTGCTTGGTAATCAGGTACATTGCCTAAATTTTGGAGATTCTTCTATTGGGACAAACAGGGATATGTCAGTACTGAAAGAAAGCATGAGTGAAGAAAGCAGAGCTGCAGGAAATCATGAGTGGGCTAGTCCACAGTGGGCAGGTTCTCCTTCTTCATTAGCAATGACTATGTAGCATGTCTTCACCTGGAGTTATTTCATGTCAGAGAGAAGGAACACAGGGTTTCAGTGGGATTGAGTTCCCAAGAGTAACTGGTACTGATGAGACAAAAAAGAGTGGTGCCTCTCCCGGAGAACCCAATCTGTATGTCTGAGTGTTTGCTTCTCTCTCCAGGTCTCTGAATACTCCACATTTTCATTACAAACCATAGTAAAAAGGGCTTCACTTTTTGTATTCATTGCTATATGATGTGACACACTCTTGCTCTTCTTCATGCTTTGCAGTTTACTGATAAGGAAATAAAAAAGCAGTGACTGGGAAAACACATCCTACTGATCATGCCTGGATTTGGTTTTCATTGATTGAAGAGTCAGGGACAGAGGAGAGCCCATCTTCTGGGAGTGTGTTGTTGGGGTCAAGGAATATTGTGTCTGTCTTGTCCTGGAAATGAGATCTTCGCTACTGACTGTTGCAGATGCTGCACAATAAAATTTGCAAAAGGACCTGAATATTGAGCGGCAGTTTTTTTCACAGCCGTAAGGCTCCCACTATTTTGTCTTCACACCATCCTCTAACAATATTTGTAGCAGTGCCAGGAGCTAATACCAAGAGCAGTGGGCTTCCCTGACACAGCCATCCTTCCTATGAAAATCATCATATTACAAAAAAAGCCAGACAAAGTTATTGTTTCAAGGCCGGAGGTCATGGATTGCACAATACCACAGTAAGAACCAACATACATTCCTTCTTCTTGTAAAAAATGCAGGAAAGAAAAAGAAGAAACATTTAAAGTATTTTGAAAAGAAAGGATTAGGAAGGCCTTGATTACTTGAAAAGTCTTTATTTGGTCTGGTCTTTCTCAACCTTACTGGTTCCCAGTGAGGAAGTTTTTAGTGTCTTACAAGACACTAAAACCTCATTTCCTTATACATGTCTTTCTACAGCGTGATCTTGTTCAGCATGCCTGACTTCTTCCCTTCTTCCCTCCTACTAGTAAATACTGTCTGCAAGAGGGAAAGCATGGTAAATCATTAACACTGCCATAAACTAGCATGGATTGGGAATAAAGGTTAAAGAAGTACTTGTGAATCTGCAGTGTATCTATTTGATTTCCAAGATCACACAAGTGCAACACATGGCATCTTTGAAAACAAAATCCCTCCAGCCAAGGGTATTGGGTGAGCTAAGTACTGGGTCTGGAATAAGCACATTTCTTGTAGTGTTCAAATCCTAGCTGGAAACACTTGTCCTGTCCTCTTCTTTAGGAAAATAAATAATAGGCATTTAAGTCTTGCTTTTTCCGCATTACGGTACTGAACAAAAGTGTGAGGCCAGATAGAAATAAGACAGCAGTGTGAGTATTCTGGGAGAAACACAGACAACAGGAAGAAGAGGAACAGGGCTCTGCAGGAACTGTTTGATTAACCAGATGTTAGAATCTGGCCACAGCCAGAGTGTTTAAAAACCCCTTCAGAAAGACCCAGAGCTGCCATGTGTGTCCTTCCTTCCAGCAGCCAAGCTTCCCATCCTCAGCTCAAAGAACAAATCCTCCTTTCCCCTCTAGTTAATTCAGGCTCATCTGCTCCCTGCCCACGGCCCCACTGCTGACTGAGTCTAGCAAAATGGTTTGCTGTTAGTCTGGGAGAACAACTTTGAGGGGGAAAAGAAAAATAAATACGGACTTGCAAGGGACAGTACAGCATGAAAAGGCTTGGAAACAGAGATATGACATTCAAATTTGATACAGGAAACAGAAGAAGTTAAAAGGAAAGTAAAGATAAAATGAGAGAAACAGCAAAAGAGAGGGGTAATTATTTCAAAAGTAGCTTTTAGTGTGTCCTGACAGAAAGCAAGAATTAACACTGGATTGTTCAAGTATCTTGTTAGACCTTTCTGCCACAGGAGTTGGGAACAACAGAAGTTTACTAGAGTTCAAAGACGATTTCAGTAAATGCATGGAAGGAGCAAATATAAAGACACTATCCTGACCGACAAAGTTGTGCATCACTGGGGCCTGGAAGATGCATAGGGAAAGCATCACTGCACACTTGCTCAGTTCTTCTGCTTTTGCCTACAACTGCTATTTGCGACGGACAGCTCTGGGATACTCTGCTAGACACAGTTCTGGTCTGATGCTAGAAGATAAAGTGGGTGGTGGTGGAGAGAGAGGACAGGGGACAACTGTACAATCTGGCTGCAGTCTTCTCTGTGACAGCAAAATCTTTGGCTGAGGGGAGGGCAGTAGCCAGTGTTGAAGTGACTGGACACTGAGAGGAGGAATTTGTAAGCAGCAGGAGAAAACCTAAATAAAGACAGGGATTTTTGCAGTAGTAATTGAAGAGAAAGGTAGATTCTGGGGTGTTTTAAAAGAGGAAGTGATAACATTTGAGGAGTCTGTGCTGAGAAGGGAAGGAATGAAATACACAACCACAGCTGATGTGGAGATGATGAAGATTTCAGGAATGATGAAAATGGAATGGGCGAAAAGAAGAATTCAGCTTGAATTATTTCACTGTACTGATGTGCAACAAGACACCTGGGCAGAGGGTTTGGAGAGAGAGCGTTATTGGGACATCCAGCAGGAGAAAGGTCAAGGCGTGACTCAGCAAGCTCGCCCCGTGCTGCACGGCACACAGCCCAGGGGATAGCATGGGGCTGTTGTCAGTCGCTGTAACGTGAAAAGCAAACTGTAGGAGGAATGTCAGTGCTTCCACCGTGCTCCTGAGCAAAGCTTCTGTTGTCTTCAGAACTGTAACCCCACTGTCCTGCCTCCCCTTTCAGCACTAATCATAGACAGTTAAATCTTTGTAGTATAGAGTGAACTATGTTGTATTCAGTGTAGTACAAAATGTTGCATGTAATACATAGAAGCCTGAAGGAAGCAAATATTAACTTACACTCTTTGTAAATAGTCAAGTCTTTAGTTGATTCAAAATCAATTTTTTTAAAGTGAAAATACTTCTTAAAATCACTGTCAAGCCAGAACAGAATGAGCATCCTGCTCTGGCACACACTAGGCCATCTCCATTGTTATAGAGAGGTAATAGTGAGGCTTCTGAGTGGTTCTGGAAACAGTGTGACCCTTTATAAAAACTGGGTGTGAGCAAGGACTAGGCTCCTTCTCCATGCCCATATTCAGCTACTTCATGTCCTGCAATTGGGAAATTGTTCAAATCACTTCAAGCAACTGAACATTTTATAGCATGCAAGAAGACAGGCATTACAGCTCAGCTACAATATGAAGTGGCTTATCTCTGTAGTAGACTGGAGAGGAGGAAAACACACTCTGCCTAAGCAGAGTCACATCAGAGAGGTGAAGAGGGACTCTGCTCCCCTGAAGGAAAGATGGTAGCACCATCTGACTCCCCACACAACAGGAACACGCGGTTGTTTTAGCAATGCGAGTAAGGGGGAGCGCTCCCAATACAAGAAGGGTAAACATCTACCAATGTTGTAATCGGCTTCGCATATCTGGGTCTTAGAATAATTAAACCAGCAAGAAGAGTCCCTGGCCAGTGTTGGAGGAGGACACAATTCACTAAAAGCCACATAGTTAGAATTTAACTTCTGTGCTATGATCCCAACTTCGTATAATCTAAGCGAGGAAAACATCTCTCTCATCTGACAGACTTGACAAGGGCTCTTGGAGCAGGCAGGTTTTCAAGGGGAAATGGCTGGTTTCCTCTCAGATCTGGTGAGTATCCAAATTATTGTCTTCTAGCCGTAGTCACTAACAGCAGCATGATCTTTAAAGATTACAGCAAAGGGAATCAAACAGTCTTTCTTGTAACAAATATGACCAACAGAGCACATGCTGGGGACAACACTGATTCAGCAGTAAGACTGACTACACAGCATCTCCAAGAGTGCTGAGGTATAAAAAAAGAGTGAGAGGTATAAGAGAGGACCTGGGAAACCAGGAAAGAATAGGCATTTTGAGGAAGATAGAAAAAATAGTAGCAATGAAAAAGACAAAACAGAAAAAACCCTCCCACTCTACTGCCCTGCACTATCAAGGATATTTGAGGATACTCATCTGTTTAAT